GGAATTATTAAGAATCTTCTGGAATCAAAGCCATCTAATGGGTCAAAGTTGCAAAAAACAAAGGGATAATTTCAGAAACCTCCCCTGAGGTTTCTGACATTTACACTAACCTCCCCTGTGGTTTGAACAATTACACTGACCTCCCCTGAGATTACTAATCCTTTACAAATTTAGTCCAAATGATTAAAATATTGTTTTAGAGAGTCAAATTAGAATTTTGTACCTGATTTGTCCTTTGTGCTACATGTCCAATGAATGACAAAGTATTACAAATTAATTAATAATTAATAAACTTTAACGAGTGTAGTTTATAGGTAAATACGTATTACTTATTTAAAGTACCAACTCTTTACGAGTATTTTACTTTCAAATATTTACTTTATTACAAATATTTATTCTCAAATATAGATTTGTATTTACTCTCAAATATTTAATTTTTGTTAAATACAAAACCTACCATTTTTTCTTCCATAAAAATATTAATATAACACTTTTTCAATTTTAGTTATAAATATTTATGTATTTAACATAAATTAAATGATTCAGGATAAAATACTCATAAAGAGCTAATACTTTACTCATGTAATGGATGAAAATCATAAAAAAATTAATACTTTATCGGCCATTTCTTTTTTAAAAAAAATATTTAATTTATAATAAATAGATAACCTACTGATTTTCTTTTTGCGAGAATATTACTGTAACACTTTTTAATTTTTAATTACAAACATTAATATATTTATCATAAATTAAATATTTGAAAATAAAATATCTGTAAAGAGTCGATACTTTAAATAGATTATGTGTATTTGCCTATAAACTATATTCTTTAAAGGAAGGAGTGTAGTTTATAGGCAAATACACAAAACCTATTTAAAGTACCCGCTATTTACAGATATTTTATTTTCAAATATTTAATTTATGATAAATATATTAACGTTTGTAATTAAAAATTAAAAAGTGTTATAGTAATATTCTCGCAAAAAGAAAATCAGTAGGTTATCTATTTGATATAAATTAAATATTTTTAAAAAAAAGAAATGACCCATAAAGTATTAATTTTTTATGATTTTCATCCATTACATGAGTAAAGTATTAGTTCTTTATGAGTATTTTATCCTGAATCATTTAATTTATGTTAAATACATAAATATTTATAACTAAAATTGAAAAAGTATTATATTAATATTTCTACGGAAGAAAAACTGGTAAGTTTTTTATTTAACGAAAATTAAATATTTGAGAGTAAATACAAATCTGTATTTGAGAATAAATATTTGTAATAAAGTAAATGTTTGAAAGTAAAATATCAGTAAAGAGCTGGTACTTTAAATAAGTAATACGTATTTGTCTATAAACTACGCTCCTTAAGTTTATTAATTATTAATTAATTTGTAATACTTTGTCATTCATTGGACATGTAGCATAAATGGCAAATCAGGTACAAAATTCTAATTTCACTCTCTAAAACAATATTTTAATCATTTGGACTGAATTTGTAAAGGATTAGTAACCTCAGGGGAGGTCAGTGTAATTGTTCAAACCACAGGGGAGGTGAGTGTAAATGTCAGAAACCTCAGGGGAGGTTTCTGAAATTATCCCAAAAACAAATCCAACTTTCATATGAATCATTGAGATGAGGGTTTTAGCAACCATTGTCTCATATAAATGGAACAAAAAACGTAAGAATTAGGGTGAGAAAAATAGGAGAAGCAGCGGTGAAAGAAAAAGTGGGAAAGGAGAGAAAACAAAGAAAGAAAAGAGGAAGAAACTGAAAGAAAGAAAATGGCGATCAGGCTGAACCAACAACCTGCTTCCTGATCATTTTCCGATCATATTTCGAGCCCTTAGAGCAACTTCTTGGTTTCTGCACTTTCCTGGGACGTATTTGAGCAACTTTTATTCAGAAACCATTTAGGAAAAACAACTATAAATCTGCCGAATTTAGGCCCAAAGTCAGGGAGTCACCAGCCCTTTGAAGAAATCTTGCAGCAAAAGACTGAGCTTCCACCTGCAATTTTCACATGTCGGTGTCGCTTCTTTTACGGTATAACGTGTTGTTCTTCCTTTTGGAGTGCCAAAGGTAATCATTTTCATCTTGTTCCGTTCGTATATCATCAGATTTGCATAAAAAAATGTTAAAACCTTGTTGCTATACTTCTTGTTGGTTTCTTTTTTCTTCTTCCTTTTGGGGTTTTCCCTTTCTTTTACATATTGTTAGCCTAGATTTTGTCTCATAATGTTGTGTTCAAATGTTTAGATTTGGTGTTAATGAAGCATGGTATGCTGAGAAATCATTTGGTACAATGTCTTGATGAATGACGAACCCAGAAGTTGCAGCAATGCTTCGAACCAAATGCATGAAAATTTCAAAAATTTGCATTTTGATCCTAAACTTTCACCTAATTGTACTGTGACCCAAAATCTGGAAAAACGAATCAATTTTCCCCTTTTAAGCATTATTCCTTCTTTGAATGTTTTAAGTATATTTTTAAGACTTTGATTTCTGGATTTTAGAGCATGAATAAAGCTTAATATTTCTTTTTAGTTGATTTAATGTCTTGTTGGGTTAGATTTTTGGGTTAAGAATCAATTTTCCCCTTTTAAGCATTATTCCTTCTTTGAATGTTTTAAGTATATTTTTAAGACTTTGATTTCTGGATTTTAGAGCATGAATAAAGCTTAATATTTCTTTTTAGTTGATTTAATGTCTTGTTGGGTTAGATTTTTGGGTTAAGATTTATTTTAGTTGGGTTTTTATTTTATTTTTCTAGGTTTTGGCATTGGGTTATGGAGGTTAAATCCCAACCTGTTGGTTGGGTTTTGCTTGGCCTACAAAGGCAGGCTAACCCGCCCTTTTCCTTAGGGCTTTTCGTTGAGCCAAGATAGCCTTTGGCCCAAGAAAAAAATAGAAATGGCCTAAGTGGCCTTTTAGCTAAAGAATCTGATAACAGAAATTACATTTTAGTCCCTAAACTTTTGAGTATATTTACTATGACCTTAACAAATTTTATTTCTTTCAAGTAAGTCCCTATTTTAATTTCAATTTGGTCCCTAAACTGTATTTTTCTTTCATTTTGACTCCTAAATTTTCTAAAAATTATAATTTGATCTAAAAAATTTTCTTAATTTTTGCAATTGAGTCCCTAATAGTTTTGATTTCTTAAGTATAATTTGTCCATCCTCTTTAATTATTAATCATGTCTCATTTAAATACATTTAATTAGTAAATTTTTAGGAGTTTCATGGTTATTTATGTTTACTTCCTTTATGTGCATTTATTTACTTGTGTGCTTGCATGCTTATATGTTAATTCATTTTCTTTAGGGTTTTACATCTAGATATAATACTTATGTGTTATGTGCTCTATGTGCTTTATGTGTTTACATACTTTAATCATGTTTTACATACTTTATTTATTTATAATAAATGCATGGCGCCACCACACTAGTCCAATGCTAGCTGTGGCCCCTTTTTCGTTTTCTCACCAGTCTAATATTAGTGAGAATTTATAGACATAAGATAGTCCAATACTAGACCCTTAAGGCCTATATAGTTCATAGAATAATTCTATATGTGAATTTATATTCTTTAATCACTAATCTTGTTTAAATGAAGACAACAAAATAGTATGATTAAGCAGTCTAAACGAATGTATATGAATTGCATGTCAACATATTAGTATATTAACATTCACCGTTGAAAGCAATCAAGTTATTTGCAAATTAAGCATTTAAGTTATATAAAAAATTAAAATAAATGTAAGTGTAATGCAATACATAATTAGTAAATTATAAGTGAATAAGTATATACAACTATACAAGTGAGTCCTATTCAATTATGTAAAAATTACTATCCAATTCGGTTATAACCGATTTTATGACCGTTTTGGAATTCAATTCGGTACCCGAATGAATTTGGTTATTTTTAATTCGAAATTGAAAGTTGTTTAGAGTTTTACAAGTAAAATAACCGAAAAAACCAAATTCAATTAACCGAATTACCGAATATGCACCGAATGCACCCAATAAGTTTGAAGTCCTCAAAACTTGTAACTCTATCCCCATCCCCAGCAACAGAGGCAATAATAAGTAGGGAATCTTCAAGAGACAAATCTTGTCTCATATTTTCCACGACTTCAAACAGTTCTTTCACGGTCACAGACTCTTCTTCCTAAAAATCCAAAGCTGCAAAAATCGCCTGACCAAAGTTTCGGGGTCACCAATTCCAAGGTCCTTGTTCAAATCAAGAAACTCTGTAATGCTTAGCAGTCCATTCTGTTAGTGTTACCATTTTGCATCGTAGCTTTTGGTCAAAGAACAAGTGAAAATAAGCATCGCACATTACGAAATGTGGTAGTTGAGCAGGGATAGAAGTAGCAATTTGGATTCCTGTGGTTACATTTGAATTGATAGTTCATAGATCAAAAGAGAAGGCGCTTGAAGTACTAAACATATTACGAGAATTCAATTGGTTAACCTGATAAACCGGCCACCTAGACCCTAGCTAGACTGGATTAATAGTTAACTGAAAAGGTAATGAACTATTAAACTTGTCAATGATTTGTCAATTCAGTTGTGATTCAAAAAATTGGCGGGTTCAACCATCAATAAATCATTAATTAATATGACAAATGGTGATGGCAACTCACTTTTTTTTTTAATGAACTCTCGTTATCATTTTTATCATATGATTTTTATTTATTAGACTATGATATAAAAAGATGATGAGAGTGCCATTATAAAAGAGTAGAGGGTGATTAATATTAATATTATTTATTTTCAATCTATTATTTTATTGTATCACAGGTTTAAGGAATCGTGACAGGTATGATTGGTTTAGATTCGATTAGGTGCAATTAGTATATTACATATAAAATAAAATGTGGATGTAATCTCACGAAATTACCATCCGTACCTGCCTCAGAACTCGGTTCAACCGATAAACCCGTTGTTGAACCGATGGCCTTTTCGGATTGATGTCCGTAAAATTCATCCTTATGCGTTCCCATCATTCACCCTTTTCTTTTCCTTCCGCTAAAACTCCAAAATGAGCAGCCAAAGCTACCTGCAAAAACCACCTTTAACGTTAAACCCCTCTATCCTTTCTCCCTCCCGATCTTCGCCAGCATCTTTCCAAATAAACCTTTTTCAGTCTCACCAAAAACCAACACAGAATAAGTTGAATGGCTGTAAGAACTCGTGTTCTTCCTTGTTACCTGCTGCTGTAAAAGGAGGTTCTTCTTCTGGGATTTTGTCTGCAATCGGGAGAGCAATTGAGGAAGAAGAAGAGTACAGAAAAGCCAGGGCTGAGGTTCACAAGAAGAGTGTGGATTTGGAAGGGTATTCAGTCGAAGGGATTTCAATTGGTGGTCATGAAACTTGTGTTGTTGTTCCTCAACTCAAGGCCGCTTTCGACATTGGGAGGTGCCCTTCTAGAGCTGTTCATCAGAACTTCTTGTTTATCACTCATGCCCATCTTGATCACATTGTAAGCTCTTTGCTTCTTCTTGTTCTTCTTCTTCTTCTTCTTCATTTTTGGTTTGTTTCAATTGAGTTGCTGCAATGATCCTTGCTTGATTGAAATCTCATTTCAGTTATGATTGGGATTTTCTTTTAGAAAATTTTTATCTTGTTTCTTTTTTTATTTATTTATTTTTGTGAAAATGACGTGCTTGGATTGCTATTTAGCAATCAGGTGCATATTTATCTTAATGGGCGTTTCCGTTGATTTTGCGACAGAGTATACTGGCAACTTCGGGTGATAATGTTCATATCTACTTGATAATACTTTGAATACTAAATATGTTTAATAATTTGGAGTCCAACTGGTAGTGAGGAGGGGAATATATTTTTATTTTACTTCTAGCTGAATATGCTTGAGCAAATATTTTAGTTTGTATAATAATGACATGTTGGAGGAGGACTAGTAGATTTGGATTGTGCTGCACAGCAGTTGATGGTTTGTAATATTTGATAATAGTGTTTGTTGACAGACACTGAATTTTATCTGTTTATACTTTGATTTAAATTAAGAGTTTTGGCAGTTTCTACTGATTTAGAGTGGGCTTCCAATGTATGTGACTGCTCGTGGTCTTTACATTATGAAACTTCCAATGGTTTTTTTTCCACATTGTATTAAATAAGATGAGGAGAAGTTATTTGATATTCACCTTCTATATGTTGATATTCTTATTATATCTTATCTCTTTTTACTTGGTTGATGTTAAGAGGACTTTTTGCAATTTTACTGAATTAGGGTGGACTTCCAATGTATGTGGCTACTCGCGGTCTTTACAGCTTGAAACCTCCAACTATTTTTGTTCCACCTTGTATTAAAGAAGATGTCGAGAAGTTATTTGATATTCACAGGGCCATGAGTAATGTAGAACTCAACCTTGATTTGGTTGCTCTGGATATAGGTATGCATTCCCTTCTGATATAGTTTCTTTCGTTCTGTGCTTGATATCTCTTAGTCCATACCATGATTTCTAAGTTTATGATCAGGGGAAACTTATGAAATGCGGAATGATCTTGTTGTGCGGCCATTTAAAACTCATCATGTCATACCCAGCCAGGTAATAGTGCAAAACTTTCTTTTTGTTTTCCCCTTTTCTCGAATTACCTTGTTTCTTCCTATCATCAGAAGCAACAATTTTGCACAATCTACTAGGGTACACTTGTGTGGATGTCGGGGATAAAGTTTGGAAAATTATAGGTAGATGATACTGACCTTTCCTGAGGTTCACTGCTATTCCAGATACCTCCCTGTGGTTCTTGAATTAACACCAACCTTTCTTGCCAGAAACATCAACTAAATGGCATTAAGTTTTCTGATCGAGACACTTACAGTCCTCTCATTTAGGTGTCACCCTTTCAGCAGCCGCTTTCGCTTCACTCTTATCAAATCCCTTCCCATTTTCTCTGTCAACCCAAAGTGTCCTTTCCTCCTACTCATTTCCCACCTCACCAACCTTTCCCTTTCTGAATTTACCTCATCCACCCTCTGCACCTCCTCTTGCTATTCCAGTGTCTCCGGTGCCTCCCCACTATCTGATTTCCAAATGCCCAAAAATAATATATTCATGTCTGCTGATTCGTTCAACTTTCAGATCATCCCATCTGCTACTACAATGATTCGACATCAAGCAAATAGATTTAGAAAAACTTGGATATATTTATTTGCCAATACTTCTCCTATATATATATATATATATATATATATATATATATATATATATATATATTTAGATATCTTTAACTGAGACTGAGAATTGGGTTGATGATGAAGGGAAAATGTCATTGGGTTGACTCCAGTTTTGATAAAACTGGGTTCTATGAACATATAGAATAATTTGGTGATTTTGATATGTTTTCCTTTTGTATTTAGTGTGACCAAGTTGGGTTCTAGTTCAAAATGTTTCAGTTTTATCCATTAGTTTTTTGCAAATCATTGGCATCAACTGACAGTGGGACTTCATAGGGTCAGATTATTTTGGTTTTTTTTTTTTGGGCAGGGGAGGAGTTGCTGACTTTTGAGAGAGTTTTTTTTTTTTTTGTTTTTTTGTTATGGGGTGGTTCAGCTCTCACTTTGGGTGACTAGGTTTCTGCAAATTTGGCAGGCTGTTACATATTGCCTGGGGAGATGAAGGATGTTGAAGAGGAAATGTAAAGCAAGCATGGAAGAAACTAGAGAACAATAAAATGGAAAAAGAACTAGTTAGGATTTTGTTATTTTGTTGACTGTGGAAGGACAGTTTTGACGAACCAATACCTCAATTTCTGCATGTAATTACTTTTTACTCATTGCTATTTACTGAAATTGGTGGCAAGAGTAGTTAGTTGAAGCTGAAGTGAATCTGAAAGGAGGCAATAGTCATTCTGCGAACCACTACGGAACGACGATTAAACCACAGGGAGGTTGGTCTGATTTACCGACAATTTAATAGATACTTTTAAGGTTAATGTTAATGTAAAACTGTTGAAAAATCATATAGAAATTGTGGGTGACCAAGAGCTTGGGTGAGTGAAACTAAGACATGCTTGATTTGCTTGCCAACTTTTGCCCTGAGGTTGAAATTGCTCTTAATGCTGCATCATTCTGGTTGCTGCTTATGTGTACAGGGTTATGTTGTTTACTCTGTTAGAAAGAAGCTGAGGAAACAATATATGCACCTAAAGGGAAAGCAGATTGAGAAACTGAAGAAGTCTGGTGTTGAGGTTTGTGAAATGAAAACTGCCTGCAATATATACATTTTTCTTTAATTTCATCTTAGACAGGCTGCCATTAGAGTTTTCTTTCCCCCTTGTCTAATATGAGAAACATTTTTCAGATCACAGATACTATCTTGTGCCCTGAAGTGGCCTTCACTGGTGACACAAAGTCTGATTTTTTCCTTGATCCACGCAATGCTGATGCATTGAGGGCAAAGATCCTTATAACTGAGGTCAAGCCTTTTGCTTTTAGCAATCACATGATGCATCTTTATGAGATCTCTTTAAAGGTGTTACCAACTTATATCTCTGTAAAGACCTCCTGTGTCTCTTAGGATTTTCTAATAAATGTCAAAAATGAACATTCTCTTTCTAAAGTTTTAGCTACTGAACTGATTCTCTTGTAGTTGTCCTCACGCTGTACTCTTAAAGGATTTATATTTATTGCTCTATGTGATGATCATGGGAAAATGTGGATTTTGATATCTGTCCTTAGTAGATTTAATATTTTATTGAAGGAAATGAATAATCTCTAAGTCTTCAATGTCTCTTTTAAGTCAAATACCTATTTTCGAGCAAAGATGAACTTTTCATATTTCGGCTCTTAAAGTTGGTCCAAGTGTGAGCAGGGCTAGTCTGTGTCAGATAGCAAGAAAATTTCTATCCTATATTCTTAAGACCTCTACCACATGCGTTTCCTTCTTCCAGATTGAGGAAATGCCTGAATGGGCTGAATACATAGCAATGTAGATCAGAGGTGGTTGCCTTTCCATATCTCTAAATGAAATATTAGATTCTGTACATTTTCTATTATCTATGAAATACAGTCTCTGTTTCATAATATATGATCAAGTTTGCTTGAGATCAGAACCATTTATACTTTAGAACCCTCTGGAACTTAACTTTACCTGCTGTGAGAGATGACATGAAAAATTTGACGTTTAGTCAAAAGCCTTTCTTCCTGTTTGTTATTATTGTATAATTTTATTTCAATGATATTTCTGATATACTAAAAAATTCTGTTCTGGACAGGCTACCTTTTTGGATGAGTGTGTCACTGTTGAACATGCACGTGATCACGGTCATACTCACCTATTTGAGGTACTTGAGTATGAAGCAATTGGTCTACAAAATAATGCCATTATGATTTACATTGTAGTCAATCTGAAGCAGATGCAGATGGTAGTGCACATGATGAGTAACCATGTTATGAAAGTATATCTGAAAGCTTGTTGGGGCACAAATGGGTTCTGTATTAGTTATATTGTTTACCATTGGAAATGCAGATTTTGGAGCATGCCCAGTGGATTAGGAGCAAAGCAGTAATATTGACTCATTTCTCTCCCCGCTACAACATTGAGGTACATGATGCAGTTTGTTGTTACAATCTGTTTATCGCAATATATTTTTAGAAGTTTTTGTTGGCTTCTTGTAGTTGATTGCTAATCGTGTTCTCTTTGTCCTCTATTATCATCTTTTTTTGCCTTTTTCCCCTTGACTCTTTTATTCTGCTTTCGTGCCTTCCCTTTAAATTTTGGCCTTTCTTCATTTGAGATTTTTTAGATAGTTTGTTATGAGTGAAGAACGAGGAGCGGGGATTTGGAGTCTGGATGCATATAATTCTTTTACTATATTCACCAAACAGACAAATCACTGGAAAAATTAAAAAAGATAAACGATGAAAAAAACCATAGACAGCTGGTAATATGTTTCAGCCAAAAAAGTGTTCCTGGCAAGGGTTCAAGTCTTATGTTGTTTGATGTGTCAATTTCAGGACATCCGCCAAGCTGTATCAAGATTGCAGTCAAAGGTCTCAGCAAAAGTAATTGCTCTAACGGAGGGTTTTAAATCAAAGTATTCGTAGATGGGAGCTGTATTACTCTCTACAATGATCTGTTGTTTGTAATTGTTATTTAGTTTTCACTATCTTTGTTTGCAACAATTTGTTGTAGTCTCCACCTGTGCGTGCGTATGTAAATTTTCAGGTGATTCTGTAGATATATTGGATAAGCTTTTGTAGAAGGAGCTTCTAGAGCAACGTTTAGGGAATGGTAGGGTTATGGATCACAGGTTTTCAGAGTCAAATTTGGCACAGTAGATCAACTTTCCACATTTGATTTCCTGGACGCTCTCTTTAAATGCTCTTGAATTCAACAATGCAGCGCTCTAGAGTTTTTTTTTCCTTCTGTTTCTTTTTCTTTGAATAACCTTGCGATCTTACAAGTGCCTTTTTGAAGGAAATGAAACTAATATACTACTTAGAAGTTATAGTTATAATATGTACATCCTCCGGTTCATATCCTGGACCATGCCAAATTTGCAGCAAAAGAAGGGATATTTTCATGCTTGATTGTTTAAGAATGAAATGCAGCTTTACTGGAATAGACGCTACTGCTCCATATCTTAAAATGTACAGAAATTTAATCTTGCCGATCTCATTTGTTTGATCACTTGGTTGCTTTGGGGTATTTTCCTAGATAGACTAAGCTCTCTACTAAGGGTGCAAATGAGTCGAGTCGAATTTTGGTCTAATCAAACTGAGCTTTCAGTTAATTTTATGAAGTTCGAGCTCGACGAGCTCAAAATATCAAGCTCAAGCTCGAGATTAAAAAATAAAAAATAATTATTATTTTATTTTTAAAAATGAATAAAATAATAATTTTTTCTAATAAATAATAAAATATTAGGGATATATATGTAATTTTATTATTAAAATAAAAAATATATATATATATAATCGAACTCGCGAGCCAATAAACTTAATGCTTTTGAGCTCAAACTCGACTTGATTAGCTCGAACTCGTATTCGAACTGCTCGCGATCGACTTGCGAGCGGTTCGATTCGTGGACTGCCCTACCCTCTACCCAAATACAGCAGGAAGTGACAACGAGAAAGTAGGTTGGAATCTTGTCCTTGACTCCACACATCATATCAACTTCTTTTTTACTCAGTTAACATCAATCTCCCCAGAGGGTCTATCATGGGTGACCAATTTGTTTTTTGTTCATGGTATCCTATCTGACTAGTCCAATGCCAACCTTCTTTAGAGGCTTATTCTGGCTGACTTTGGTATGCAATTGTTGTTTCTCCCCTTCACTGCAACAAGAAAGTAGTATCCTTTGACAACCTTTGACAGTATAAATATGCTTCAACTGAAAAGTCAGAAGTACAAGTTTTTCCGATGAAGTCGACCTTTGATCAGTTATTTTCTCAACAGAAACATGCTTCAATCCTCCCTCCCTAGTGATATTTACAGAAAGTATTTGACATCTAGATGACTCGAGTCTTGTAGCAATCAGGGGGGACTCCCACTAAGCTGGTCTTTGATGCTTTGAAAAGAAATTATGTTCTGAGATGTTGCTTGCTGCAAGTTTTAGGTGTATATTACACAAATTATGAACGATATATGCTTTTCAACTCTTGTGAAACGTGGCGCCAAGTACTATTCAATTTGGTGACGGTGCTGTTTTTGGGGTGTTTTTGAAAAATTTTACTATAACAGGGTTTTTAGAGTATATTTTGGAATATTTTTAAAAAATATTTTGGAATATTTAAGAGTAGTAGAGTTTTTAAAATATATTTTGGGATATTTTTTGAATATTGAAAAAAATTTAGACTACTTTTTAGATTATCTTTTTGAAAAACTAGTTTTTGAAAAACTAGTGGATCCAAACAGAGGTTTTTAAAAACAAAGAACCTCTGATGTTATGTTGAAAACATTTATCTTATTGTTTGGACTTGGATGGCAAACAAATGTAGGAGTGTTTGGATAACAAAATTATTCCAAATAATATTTCGTTTGCATCACAAACACATTTTCCAACCTTTTTATATTCCCAATCACCTTTTTATCTCACATACATCATATCACAAAAAGTGTTACAGTAATTATTCCAAATAATATTTCAAATAATACACTATCCAAACAAACTTGTGTGAACCTCTTGTCTGTGTATTCATAAATGTCATGTAAAGATATATAATGTTTAATGAGAGCAGGATTTAGTTGCTAATTAATTCACATCAACTTTCCATTGACGGCAAGATTCTAGAACTTGGTGGGTTAAACATATCAGAAGATCCATAGGTTTATTCAGACGTCAATTTTAAACACCTAAGCAAACTTTTTCTCACCAAGTATGCCCGACTGGCTGATAATTTATATTTAACAAGTTAAAATTGTAGGATCGGTCATATGAAAAAGAAGCATGAATTTTCAATGCATAAAATGAGCTGAGAAACAGCCACTAGTTAACAATGCTTCACACTGAGCTTCAGCTTTTCCTTTGGGGATACAAGATGCAGATTCACTAATGTGATTCAGCTACAACCATTCTCACTATAATTACGCTTTTGTAACATGATTTCCTAGTCAATCCTGTGGAATCCAAGGTAGCTCAGGAGAGATTGGTGATGGTCCTCAAAGTCTAGTATATTTGGATTGTTTATCTATTATGGCTGTGATCACAAGAGCACACTCCAAAGGGTAGCAGGATCTTCACCACACCTGGTATGAACCTCTTTTATTCTTTCAACAGAACTGCAAATCCCACTACACCTCCAATCAAATGATGCCACGCAAGCGCTACCAGACTGTGCTTTCCATTCACATTCTGTAAAGTCAGGTGAATTTCATTAGACATACCAAAGAATGAAGACTAATACTACTTGGCACGTTCAAAGTATTAGGCCTATGACGCTTCTGTATGATGATCTTTCATTCTTGACAAGTTTGAAAATTGTAATTGTCAATATGTATTTATTGGTGATTCATCCATAACTGTTAGACAGATCTAGGAGTTCTAAGTTCCAACAAACCTTAAGAGCAAAGACATAAAAAGAAATATACAAGAGAAGTGACTAGAGTTGATTCGCACATTCTCTCCTAATGGTTCCGAGAATTACTGAACTGAATGTTCGCCATCACAGTTATGGAATTTTTCTGTTGTTAACTACACTTTTTTGCCCTTAAAGCAGTGTACTTGTTGTTGAGGAACATAGTGTTGGGTCACTAATTGGTGTAAAGAAGCAAAAGTAGAACTATGGGGACTATATTTTGCCCAATAAAGGTCCAAGTGCATAGTGTATAAACCTAATATATCACTTTGCACAATGGAATTGGAGCCAACAATAGCATGAAACAAGCAGAAGCAAGAACAAAACTTGGAAACTGCATACCGTGTGGTGTTCTACAGCACATATTATGATCGTTAATGTGCTCAACTTCAAGACCAATTAGCCATGCCCCCAGTGAAACATCTTCGTTTGCATATTTATGCAAAATTGGTCTGAAATCATAATAATAACTTAATGAGAGAAGTATTATACAGAAATCCAACTACAATGCAAAATGTCAAAGAATTTGAGTTCAAAAAATACAGATGTGGATATGCGGTTAAAAGAAATGGATATGTGGAGTCAAGCGGAGCATTCACCCTGTTTCAATAACCCAATGAGGACTTAGCTAAATATGTTTGTCATCTCATGAAAGGCAACCAGAGGGTGACTGGAACTTGCAATTTTTGTCAGGAGAGGAAGTCACTCTTACCAGCCTAGCCAACTTTGGGCCATGCTAGATTGCTTCCACCTATTATATTGCAACTCTAATTAAGAAATAAGATTATGTTCTCAGATTTGCTTCCAAAAGTTAAGCTTAATTTCCACTACAACTTTGAGGTCAAAATGTTTCTAAAGAAAACAATGCAATTTTGGAAACCAAGATTGCATGCCTGTGTCGATAGTTTACACTATAAAATCAAACTCTCTGTTCTCTTCCTATAACATGAAAAAATAACTGAATGAGATACTCATGATTCTTACCGGTTGACAGAGATGTATGTTGCCAATTCCTGTGAGATAGCATATATCTGACCAGTTGCATGTCTGAAATATCGGTTCCCCTCCTCTCCAAATTTCCAATGTTCAGGTTCGTGGTACTTGACGTCCCTGACAAATGAGACAGAAAATGAGAGCAGAGAAAACATATTTTGTGAAGCACATTGCTGATTAAAGCATGATATCTTTAAGAATTGTTGGGATTAGAGAAAATTACTTCTGATAAAGAACTGGTCCTGATTTCATACACCCTATGTATACCCTTGGTTTTGAACGGTGGCGGGCAAGAGTAGCAGCTAATGTGCCTGTACTACCAGGTAAATCAATACTTTTAGTAAATATACAAAGTTCCAAACTAGTGAATTGAGGCAACATATACTGAACAATAGACGTTCCAGATTTCCAGCTTCTACAAGTATATAAAGAACTATGGGAATGAAAAGAGGAAAGGAGATGGTATACGCACCCAGATTTACGTGAACATCATCATCGATCTTAACATAAAAGTCAGCATCCCATTTGGCTACTGCAGTAGAAAAGAATGCTTTTGTCTTTGCAGATAACTCATGATATCCCTCAACATGTTCCTATAGAAAAAACCACAATACATGTGACCTGCTATTATAAAGAATGCCCACGGTGTAGAGAGCCTTGGCTTATACGTACCAGCCGGAGAATGTCATTATGCTGTTGTTCCTCCAAGTCAATTGCTCTGTCCAAAATGCTATTGGATGTTGCACTGCAAAGACCAGCATAATATTTGTCAGAGCACATCTTGGGACACATTAATTTCATAAATGACTTCTTATGACGAATATTTATTAGGTATAAGCAACAAAATGCTTCAAAGAACATGATTAAATTTCTAATTCGGTCAAGTCCTCCAACTGCATTTTCATATTTATATTTCCAAGCGTGCCAGCAGACAGACTTCTTTCCGAGTTTTACTCACATTATGATTGCTGTGATGGAACTATCAAGTACCATTCAGGAAATGTAAGAAATGTGCAATTGTAACGAAACAAGTAGCAATGTTATGCAATTACATAGTTTGCTGCCACCATCACTGGGGAGCACAGAAAATATGGTTTGTAATTATGTTGATTTTTTTGTCAGTTAACATGGCTTAATCCTATGTTAACTATGGAAAGTGCTGGCAACATTGAGGACAATTGGAAAACATAAATATCCCCATATTGGAAACACATTATAACAAGCACATACCACAAAGTCTTAGAGCTCAATGATCCAGTTTCCCTGAATTATTGTAGTCATTCCATGACAATATAGAAGCCAGCAACAAGTGCAATCTGACACTATTGAGACCCGGAGGGAGGGGGGGACAG